GGACAGAGAAAAGACCGGCCTGAGAACCCAGAGGGGCTTCCCTGGAGACTCGGTGGGGGAAGGGATTCGTTCCACTTTTAAACATCTCACTCATCCAGTCATTCATCCTATTTTTATTGAGCACCTACTCGGTGCCAGGAGCTTTCTGAGGTGCTGGGATTCAACATAGAACAAAATAGAGAAAAATTCTGCCTGGGAAGCTTACATTCTATCAGAGGAAGACAGAGAAGAAGTCAGTCAAATCCAAAATGTCAGGCCGTGTGGAGTGTTAGGGAACACACAGCAGGTAAAGGACTGGCAGCGGGCAGAGAGTAACAGAGACCCAGGAAAAGAGGGGGTGTCGACCAGAGAGGGAAACACAGACTCAGGGAAAGAAGAGATAGAAGTCAAGAGACCAGGCGACAGAAATAGAGTGAGACCCCCAGGGAGAGGGGAGGCCAAGGAGAGAACCAGAACGAAAGGCCAGGGCTGCCGGATGGAGGAGAGGGGACATTGAAGAGCGACTCCAATTCTGAATCGTGCCCCCACCGCCCCTGGCGCCCCGCACCCAGGAGGGCAACAGTGGTGACGGGGATCCAGAGCCTGGAGAGCTGCCAGTCCAAGACCCCGACACGAATGTCAGGACCTGTGGGGCCACCGGAGACGCGGTGTTCCCAGCGCCAGCCTGGGCCGGTTTCCGCCGCACAGGCCTCCCCCTGCACCCTTCCCGGGGCCGCCGAGCCTGAGGTGACCCGGAGCTGGAGAAGACGCCCAGGCAGGCGCCGCGACGTGGCGGCAGAGCGAGAGACAGGAAAGTGTCGAGGAAGCGCGAAGCTCAAGTGCAAAAACAGCATCTCCTCCCTGCCCCCCACTCCCTAGGAGCCTCTCCACCCTGGGCCGGCGGCTCCTGGAGCCAAGGCCGCAGGGCTGAGCTGAGCGGACCTGGGGGCTGGTGGCTGGAAGCCCGGTGACCCTGCACGTGGGGGAGGAGCCTCTCTGCCCAGGCCTGGGCTTCCCTGTAATGGGCCCGAAGTTCGATCAGAGGCCACCACTCCCCAATAGCAGCAGGTGCCTGAAGAGAGTGGGCTGCCCTCTCTCACACACCCCTGGGCGCTTGGAGATAATTATTTACTGTTGTTGTTCAGTCACTCAGTTGTGTCCAACACTTTGCGACCCCACGGACTGCAGCTCGCCAGGCTTCCCTGACCTTCATCATCTGCCAGAGTTTGCTCAAACTCATGTCCATTGAGTCAGTGATGCCATCCAACCATCTCGACCTCTGTCATCCCCTTCTCCTCCTGCCCTCAGTCTTTCCCAGCATCAGGGTCTTTTCTAATGAGTCAGCTCTTAGCATCAGGTGGCCAAAGTATTGGTTATTTATTATTATTTGTAAACAATTGGTTTCTTGCAACAGCAGAAGAAGGAAGTGGAAGGAGTGGAGCTTCCCACACAGCTTGACCTACCCATTTTGGTCAAAAGAGTATTTGTTGTATTTTGACCTGAGTGAAGAGAAAGACTGGAAGATCCCTGATGTTCCATTTCTCTCGGCTAGTTTCAACTTCCCTGTTGTCTATTCTCCTGCATCCCCTCCTGTTTTACTGAAAGACAAGGGTGCTCTACCTTTAAAGTCTGCTTTCTTCCACAGCCTGAGCTGTTTGTAGCAGAGGTGCTAATCAACAGCAAGATGTCAAAGGGCCAGGAACTAAAGCGGGGGGAAATAGAGAGGCAAGGGTCTAAATGAAATGGGATAATCAGCACCTAGATGGGGAAGAGTTGGCAGGGTTTTGCTCTGGGAGGTGGAAAGCCCCACCCCAGGAGCCTCTGCACAAGAAGACTGTCTTCCCTCCCCAATCTCATACCACCTCTCACAGGGGCTGGGATCTTTCCCCTGTGAGGGCAAGAATCTTTGCACCTCTACCCCAGGAAGTCTCTGGAGATGCCCTGTTCCCATCACCCACACACTTCTTGGTGTGGGGTAAGGATGGGATGGAGGGTTCAGAGCAGAAAGAACAAGACACAACCTTACCTGACAAGAGCAATCAAATTCTCCATCACTAGGTGAGTAATTGGTCTTTATTGCTCTTCAAAAGCCCTGAACTCCCATTCTCTTTCCTCTTCTCTTCCTTCCCAATCCCCACCTCCACATAATGTGACATCCCCTCCCCAAACTCCCTGAACATGGCTGCTCAATAGATGAATTATTTGTGACTTGCCTCAGGAAAAAACAAGCTCAATGTAAGTTGTGTTTTAACCTATAGAAGAGGTTTGCTGGCATCTTTAAACTTAACAGTTTTATTCATAATTGTCCCAAACTGGAAGCCACAGAAATGATCCCCAACTGGAAAATACATAAATGGAGGGACGTCTGTGCAAGGGAATACTACTCAGGAACAAAAAAAGAATGAACTACAAATACACCCAACAACATGAAAGAATGTCATGTGCACTAGGGTTGCATCAAAGAGGTGGAACTCAAAAGACTAAATGAACCCATTTATCTGACATTGTCACAAAGGCAAAACCACAAGGATAGAAAAGAGAGGTTGGCAGGGGCAGGAGGGTGGAGGAGGAAATTTGGGGGTGTGAGGAACTAGTCTATATCTTGACTGTGGTGGTGGTTACACCATTTGTGTGTTTGATAAACCTGTACACTAAAAAGGGTGAATGTACTGTATGTAAGTTTTACCTCAATAAATCAGAAAGAGGGGATTTTAAAAAGTGTCTTTGAAAAACCAGGGGGTTGAAGAGTATTTCTGGGACAGGATAAAATTCTTCAGACCCTGTTCTCTCTGTCTCCACACACACACCCCTCCAGTCTTTAGTGAAACTTCACATCCCTGGTACATGTTTCACTCCCACCTAGGATACTTCAGCAAAGTGATTTATATACAGAAGACAGCCTTGCATCTCTTCTTTTGGCCCTCCTTATTTCAGGAAGGGTGGTTGTTCTCTCATCCTGACAGTCCGCGGAGCCAGGTAGCAGAGGCTCAGAAGTTGCTACGTCACTTTCAGTCACATTGCTGCTCCCCAAGGCAACCAGCTGGCAGGAAATGAAGGGTGGAGAGCCCCAGTTGGCCAGAACCTAGTCAGTCAGAGGAGACTGGGTTTTCTCCAGCTGGTCCCATGAGGTAAGAATAAGCCAAAGTGTGCCCTTGAGAGCATGAGTTTGGCCCCAAGAGTAGAACTGTATTTCCCTTAGTCCATTTGGTGAAACATGACCTTTTCTGTAAATGATCATACTCAACCTTCACAACAGTTCTGCAGGATAAGTTGTTCTGACTCTGATTTTTTTATCAATTTTTGTTACACTCAGCTACAGTTCATGACCTGCCTGTGGAAGCGCTACCATGTAGGTAGATAGTAACCGGGAAAAAAACTGCACATTATTCCAGATAAAATTACACTTTTTAACCTGTATCTACAGAAATCATGGTCTAGTGGACATCACAAGCCAGCCCAAAGCCACTGACTACCTGGACCATAGGATGGCTCTGATGCCTTTCCTGCTCAATAAAAGTGGTATGAGTGTGTATGCATTCATTTCTACCCCTTCCAAGAGTTGTTGATATCACTATTTCTAACTCCAACCAAACAAGTGCTAATATTAACAGACACCCATTGGTCTTTGGCTTTAATCTCATCCTGTTCACTTAAATTAAAAAGCCAATAGCACCAACAATCACAAAACACCGCCATCTACAAAGACAGAACAAAACCCCACAAAATACCATTTCCTGTTAGAAATAAAGCCAACAGATTGGCTCTGTCGATTTCTCTTATTCTCCTCCCCACCCTTTGAAAGCTTGCTAATTTGGCAGTGGAAGATCCAAAAGGTGGGAAAGAAAGGGAAGAAGTAAAAAGCCTGCAGGAAGCCACAACTGGGAGCGCCTGTGACGGTAGCTTCCTGGGAGAAAAAAAAAACTCTGGGGGCCAAGAGAGATCTGATCCTACCCCTCTGGCAACCTTGAGTAAATCAAGAGTCAGTCTCTTTCTCTCATGAAATGAGACAAAACACCGTAATCTTTCAGCTTCAGTGTCCACTGAACTTGTATTACTTGGATTCCCTTACAAGTATTGCAATTTACATAGCAAACATGTATTTAATGCTTGCTGTGTGCCAGGCATCAGGCAAACCTTGTAAATCTAAGAATGAACACAAGTCTCCACCTCCAAACTGGTTCAGACCAGTGAGGAAAAAGAGTCCTGCCAACAGGCAACGGGGAAAGTGCTGCAACAAAGAAAATTAGAAAAGAAACCACGTTAATGCCTGGAGGGGCGAGAGTGGGGGAGTAGGTGGGAAGAGGAAGTAAATAATTCAAGGAACTCTATTCTTTTTATGTGTAGGTGTCCCCCCACCCCAACCCCACACGTTTGCCTCATTTACTCTTCTCTTTCTAGACCTCAGCACGCTCGCACTCACACGCGTATATATACACACACACACGCAGGCGGCGATCTGACTTCAGGGCAAGAAACTGTGTGGACCTTGTAGAGTTCATGCACTAGCGGGCACATCGAGAACCTACAACACGCACGACTTCGTTCATTCCACATATTTGATGACAATCATGCATATGGATCGTGGGTCCCGCCCAATGCCCAAGTGGCCTGAGCGTGGGCTGGGAATCCGGGGTCAGGAGACCCTAGGCTGTCGTTTTCATCGCCACCAGGTTGCGTGACCTCAGGCATGCCCGCTCCCTACTCTGACTCAGTTTCCTCACCTGTGAAATGGGCGGGCTGTGTTAGATCATTTCTAAGCTCCCAAGGGACAAATGAGGACAAATGAGCATGTCCTTAAAAGACTCTGAAATTAAGAACTGGAATAAAGTCAAATATTTGTTGATGGATAGAAAACGCTGCCTCCGAGCTGCGCGGGGCTGCTTTCGGGCCACGTGGAGTCGGTCCGGCTCCTCGGTGACCGCTGGACTTTCCTGTCCCGCTCTCCCGAGGGGCCGTCGGCTCCTGGCCCGCGCCCGCCCCCCGCGCGGGGTGCCCTGCGCCTCGGGCCGCGCGGGCGGGTGATGGATGGCCGCGGAGCCGGCGGCCTGTCAGGCCTTATTGATGAGGTGCGCGCCGACAGCCGCCGCGTAACCCGAGGCGGCGGGCGGCGAGCGCGGGGCGGCAGGCGGGCGCAGACTCTGCGGCGCTCGGGGTCAGCCCCCGGCCGGCCGCCCCCGCCCCGCGGCGCGCCCCGGATCGGCTCCGCGGAGGGGGCGGCGGGCGCTGAAGCACTTCCCCAGCCCGGCGCCCGGCGCGCGGCCCAGCTTCCTCCAGGCTGTGGCCCGGCTTCCCGCCCCCGCTCGCCCGCGCCACTTCCCCCGGACCGACGCCGCAGCCTCCTGGGCGGAGGCCCCGCGCCCGGACCTCGGCTCTTACCCGCAGCCGCGGTCCGTGCCAGGGCCCGAGCTCGGAGCCCGCCCTCTCCAGCCGCGTACCGAGGGAGAGGAGCGCTTTTCCCAGCGGAGGGGCCGCGTAGTATCCCTTGCTACACAGCTCAGGACGGGAATCGTCAGTTTCTCGTGCATCACTCACTCCCGCGCGAGCGCAGCAAAATCAGGACCCCGGCGCACATTCCATTTGAGTTCATCGAATTTTTACATGATAGAAACCAAGACAGGTAGATAAATGAAAGTCAGTGCACCTACGTGTAAAGACGGTGAGTTTCCAGCTTGGAATCCCCCACTTCCATTTTTGTGCATTTCTAATGTTCCAATTGCGCTTTTATAATAGCGAATACACTTTACTTGCTTGAAAAAATACGATCCACCTTAGTTCACGCGCAACCTCACGCTCACTCTCCCGTTTCCACCCTCTTCCATCTTGTTTTTGGTCAGTTTTTCTTCCCGTCGTTGCCTTTCAGACCAGAAAAGCGGGCACTCTGACCTCCTGACAGGTTTTGTAACTAGGACAAGCTGCCTTCCTCTGACTTTCTACTGAAACCCCCAGGGTCACCTTCTCTGTTGGTGACACTCATGTGGGGGAGGGGTCATGAGCATAGCACCTGCAAAGCACTTTCGGTGAGAACTGAAGGAGTAAGTCAGCTCTGGAGACAGCAGGAAGTGCTAAAGGGCTCAGATTTTTCTTTTGTCTCCCCCCACTCCGCCCCGCCCCTCACCCCAGTCTGAGTTGAGGGCTAGCTCTGACAAGTAAGGGCCTTCATTCTACATTAGCTGTGACCTAAGAACTGGGAACAGGTAGTCATTTCTTTGGGACACTATAGGGAAAGTGGAAGGAGGCAGTGTGGCCCAAGAGACTCACAGCAAAAAGCAGCCTTGGCCAGGGAGTCGGATCTAGGGGTCAGGTGTCTGGTGGAAATTCATTGATTTGGAGTTGGAAGTTTGGGGTTCTAATCCTGACTCTGCAGGACCACAGGCAAATCGCTTCTTTGCGCTTTAGTTTTCTGTCTGTAAGTAGCAGAGGCTGGATCCTTTCCTACACCAACACGTTGTGACTCTAAAACTCCCCAAGTGGGCATCTCCAAATGGTGCCATTCTGTCCCTCAAAAGGTTCTATAACAAGGGGCTCACTGCTGGTCCCACACAGAGGAAGGGTAGGAACACCAGACCTCTAAGTCTGAACTGTTTTAGCCACAGATAATGAGTGTGTTTAGCGAGGAACCCAAAATGTCTATATCATAGACATGTCTATGATAGAAGGCTCAGACTGCAGATAAAACTTCCATCCATTTCCTAGACAAACATTTATTGAGTAACAGCTACCACTGGGCACTTACTATATCCAGGCATGGTGCCAACGAGGTGGGACAGATTGACTGTCTCATTTATCTAGGCAATCACTTTGTTCTCCCATTTTACAGATGAAGAAACTGAGGCACAGCACTATTAAGTAACTTGTCTAGCTTACTAGCTGACAGGGCCAAGATTTACACGCAAGTAGTTTGATTCCAGAACCCAAATGCTGCTACTATGAGCAAAGCATTGGTACTGTGAGGGATGAAAAAGGGAAAAAAGAAGAGCTTTATTCTCACATTGTTGTTTTTTAGTGGCTAAGTTGTGTCCAAGTCTTTTGTGACCCCATGGACTGTAGCTCACCAGATTCTTCTGTCCATGGAGTTTCCCAGGCAATAATACTGGAGTGGGTTGCCATTTCTTACTCCAGGGGATCTTCCTGGGGATTGAACCCATGTCTCCTGCATTGGCAGGTGAATTCTTTACCACTGAGCCACCTGGGAAGCCCTTCTTCCCACATGTCCTCCTTTAAATGAAAATCCACTTTTAAAGACTTCAATTCCCAGACTTGATCCCTTCCCCCCTCCTTATCCACAGATTTTTACCACATTAGTTCCTTTTAATCTTTCCACATGTCTGCCTGTCTCCATAACCCTCTCTTCCAAATTTCAGCTTTCTCAAGGGCAGAAATCCTATTTGGTATCTCTGTATTTTCCATAGCTTCTAATATGTAATAGATGTTTTTAAAAATATGTTGAATTGAGCTTAGAAAATTGAAATTGTCAGTTTGTCTTCACACAGTATAAACCTCTATCCTTTATGACTGCAGATGTAGTACCATGTTATGTGAGAGCCAAGTCGCTTCAGTCGTGTCTGACTCTTTGTGACCCTATGGACTGTAGTCCACCAGGCTCCTCTGTCCCTGGGGATTCTCCAGGGAAGAAAACAGGAGTAGTTTGCCACGTCCTCCTTCACGGGTTCTTCCTGACCCAGGGATTGAACCGGTGTCTCCTGTGGCTCCTGCATTGCAGGCAGATCCTTCAGTGTTGAGCCACTGGTGGGATACGGCAAAACATGTGCTGCGGTCCCTTCCATTGTGCAAACACAGAAAAGCTCACATGCCGAAGATGCCTAATGAGGCCTCACAGGTATCTTAGCCTGAGTGCCCCTGTTGTGGGAGTGACTGTGACCCATGTACCTCTGGTCTCTTTTTCTGACATTAACACTGATATGGAGAGCTGGAGTTGCAAGGAGCCTTGGGGATTCTGGTCCAATCCACTCATTCAATAGATGAGGCGATTAGGACCCAGAAAGGGCTACAGGTTTGTGCAGAGTCACACAGCTATTTATGGCAGAACCAGTAGTAGGTGCCTTTAGAGCTGGTCATACCCTATTTTTCCATTTCAATATGCTGCGTAGGAACTGATAGCTCCCCTCTATAAATCTGAATCCCAAGGCCAAGCTTTCCTCACCCTGATGCTATCACCAGGGTGAGAGGATTAGCGATAAGGCATACTGAGCTCTGGGGTAGCCAGAGTGCACGGTGAGCCCTGCCACCCCCACCCTTTGCAGGAAGGTGGAAATGGTGACCAGGCTCAGCCTCAGTGGGGGTGGGCGGGGGAATGCGGCCGCAGTAGAGGGAGTCAGAGACACTCACAACTACAGTCATTCCTCGCCTAGACGAGGGTAAACCAAGCCAAAAGGGGCACTGGGTACAGAATATGTTTCCGGACAATGGCTTTCGATTGTCCTCATAAATATTCCAGCCTTCAAAATGAAATAGGACAGCAAAGTTGTGGGCAGGTTGCGAGGTATACTAGACAGGAGTCTGGGCTTGGCCCTTGTCATGACCCTTATTGTTTCATGGGATGATCCCATGTCCCAGTTTATGCCCCCATGTCCTGCGTAATTATTTGTAATACACAATTCACTCATCATTTCACATTTATTTAATGGTCACCTTTTGTCACTTGGACTCTCTGAGCTTCGGTTCCCCGTCTACAAATTAAAGTTTGTTGTTTAAAAAAAAATAAAATAGAGTTTGTTGTTGTTGTGTTCAGTCGCTCAGTCGTGTCCCACTCTGAGACCCCATGGACTGTAGCTCACCAGGCTCCTCTGTCCATGGGATTCTTCAGGCAAGAATACTGGAGTGGGTTGCCATTTCCTCCTCCAGGGGATCCTCCTGATCCAGGCATAGAACCCATGTCTCTATGTCTCCTGCATCAGCAAGAGAATTCTTTACCACTGAACCACCAGGAAAATCCCATAAATAAAGGGTTTTTGAGTAAATATTTTGGAAAATGCTTCCATTTTATGAGGGTGGGGCTCCAAGAAGAGCCTCACAGTGCCTTTTTTCTGGGGAGCTGAGAGCAAAGTCACTATGGATCTGTGACTGCCCCGTTATTGGCACTGACCTTTGGGCCTCAAGGCTCACCCTTGGGGTACTGGGATTGACTTTTAAAAAATAATAAAATAAGCCAGTCCTTCTGAAGAACAACATGAGAATTCATTAGTGCTCACCGTCCAAATAAGCAAATCAACTGTTAATTTTATTCATCATCAGCATGTGTGACAAATATTCTACATCTGTTCACATCCTAGGGGACCCCGTCCATCTCTTCACCAGTTTGTTTTTATTTAACATGGAGCTGAGTGGAGGAAATGTGGTTTTTTTTTTTTTTTTTTTATTCCTTCTTAACTGGGGCAGTCAATTCACAGCCTTTTTTTTTTTTTCCTGCCCGTGATGGTTCCCAGCCCTGGGCTTATGATAAAGACGTGTTGCTGGGGACAAGGTTGTGGCAAGGACACCTCCTCCGTGTGCTTCCTCCTGTGGCTTCCCCAGCAGTCAGGCAGTCTCCCTTTCCTCTGTACCCCACTAACTGAGGTTCAAGTGTGTGTGTGTGTTCTGCCACTTTATTAAGCGTAAAAGGTCCTTGATGGCGGAATAGTATTTAATCATTCTCTATACCTGCCACAGTGCCCTGCATGCAGTAGGTGCTCAATACACACTCCAAAGGATGAATTAAGATGGGATGCATCCAGAAGCCAAATATGGAAGTCTATGACAAAAGTGTCTATTTGTGAAATACACAAATTTCTTTCACTTTTTTCACATTTTGGGAGACCTGGGGGCCAAGCCACATTGTAAATGTACGGCTTCCTGAACCACTTTATTTTCACTGTTTTGATCTCCCATGTGTGGGGGCTCTTAAACTGCTATTTGCTTCACTTTATAACTTGCACCTTGGAGAGGCTGGATGATAAATGAGAGATGAATAATTCCTTATTGCTACTTATCTGTTGAATCTATAAACTAGTGTCAGCATTTACTCAGTTGGGTTTAAAGCTATGCCTGGTATACTTATTAACCTGCTTAAAATAAGCCATAAAAATGGGCTTGGTAGGAAATTGTTTTAACTAATTTTTAAAAATGACATTGGTCATTTCCCACCAACTTGTGGGGTGACCTTTGGCAAATCACTTAACCTCCCTGAGCCTCACCTGTAAAATGAAGGGGGGGGGCGGTTAGTTAAATCAGCTTTAAGAGACTTGCAGCTCTGTCATTACTTGATTTCCAGATTTCAAGATGAGTAAATTAAGGGATCCTGATGAGATCTTCTACAAATCAGTTCATACAGACCATCTCAGGAGTCCTTGGCATATTCCTGGAGGGCGGAGGAGGCAGCATTTACTAGATAGAGCAGGGCATTTTGAATTTTATCCTGTTACTTATTAGAGATGTGACCTTTGGCAGTGCAACATCTCCAAGTCTCAGTTTCCTCACCTATAAAACGGGCATGATATTCTATTAATATCCTCACTGATTGCCCCAGAGAGCAATCAAACGTGAGGATCAAATGTGATATGTACATGAAAGGACTCCAATAAATGCTACTCCTTGTCCCCAATTTACAAATCAGGCAATCGATTGA